GAGAGGTGCTCAGGAGGGAGGATGGAAGGGCCACAGAACAGAGTGGTAGAGTGTGGTTGATGCCATGCTGGACATAAATCCTTTCAGACACTTCCCGTTCAAGTGCCATCGTGTCCTTTCTCTGCTCACAAACCTCCAATGGCTTCTCTTCTCACTCTGAGTAAAAACCAGATGCCTGCCAATGCCTCTAAGGTCCACCTCAGTAGGAGACCTCTCCGACCTCAGCCCCCCTAGTTGTCTGCATCACTCACTCACTCCAGCCTCATTGACATCCTTCCTGTTTCCTGTCCACAACAGGCATGCTCCTGCCTCAGGGACATTGCGTCTGCTCTCCCCTTGCCTGGAAATGCTTTTCTCTCAGAAAACTGCATAGCTCACTCCTTCAGGTTTTTACTTAAATGCTACCTTCCCAGTAAGGGCTTCCCTGCCTACTTTATGAAAAATTTAAGCCTCGATCTTTGCACACCACATGTGATAGACTGCCAGTTTCCCGTGACCCCTTCAGTCCACTCTCTTCTTGCTTCTGGTCATCTGTTTGCCCCATAAAGACTACATTTCCCAGCTTCCCTTGTAGCTAGATATGATCATGTGACTAGGTTCTCACTAATGATAGGTGAGAGAGTTAATTTTTGTGTAACTCCTGCCTCCCTTGCCTGAAAGGAAATTGTTTGCCTTAGATTCCCTTTTCTTATCACTCTCCCTCAGACTGGACCCCAGACAGATCAGTGACCCAGCTTCAGTCCCACACATGAGGACAGTATCTTAGAGGATGGCAGAATAATGAGGTAGAAGGAATCTGGGTCCCTGAATGACCCTATGGAGCAGAAATGCCCCATCCACCTAGAATAGTAAGACATTCACATAAGGGAGAGAAACTTCTATTTAAGTTACTGAATATTTGGATCACTTTGTTGTAACGACTCTGCCTATGCTCTAACCTACACATCTCCTCTATAAATTCCCTGATTTATTATTCTGCCTAGTACTTCACACCATCTAACACTCCCAATATTTTCTTCTTTTGTTTATCATGTGTTCCTTAGGTAGACTGTGAGTTCTTCCAGGGCAGGGGGTTTAGCATCTTTGTTCACTACTGCATCTCCAGCACCTAGTACAGTGCCCAGTTCATAGTAGGTGCTCAATGAATATATGTGGAATGAAATGTTATTGTTCACTGAAAATGAAATCAAAGGCTATGCCGTGAATACAGAGCTTCAGTAAGTTTTGAAAAAAAATCCTAGGGCAAGGTGGGGGGCAGTAAGAGGATGGGAGAGGGGAGGGGAAAATGAGTGAAAACAGTGAGGAACGTCATTCATGGAGGGTTGAGAGAAGCGTGGAGTCCGAGGAGGGGTGGAGTTTTTAATCAGGTCAGAAAAGCCCCTCGGCTCTCCTGTGTTTGGGAGGGAGGCTCTGGGGGCTTTGCTTCAGCATGTCTCCCCACTGGTATTGGTTTTGGCACTGACTTTTATATGAAAGAGGAAGAAAGATTAAGTTTTTCCCCATTTAGCAGGAAGGAAGTCATGCTCTCTCCTGCATTCCATCTCCCCTTATTCTCATCCTCTTGAGAAAAATCTATATCCTAATATTCAGGATAACTTGCCTAGAATCCTTGAGGTGGAAGGTATTCATAGCAATAGCTGTGACGTATTGGGAAAACCATTAGGATGGAACTGAACTGCTTTAGATTTAACCTGACGCCTTCCTAGGCTGGGTGGTCGTGAGTAAATGGATTGAACTCCTTTGTCTTTAGCATCCTCGCCTGTAAAATGAGTGTAACTGGACACTGAATAGTGTCCCCCCAACCTCCTGTACCTCAGAATGTGAGTGTGTTTCAAGACAGGGCCTTTAAAGAGGGAATAAAGTTAAAATGGGGTTGTTAGAGTGGTCTCTAATCCGATATAACTGGTGTCCTTATAAAAAAGATTAGGACACACACACACACACGCACACAGAGGGAGACACCAGACACTTGCACACACAGAGGGGTGACCATGTGAGCACACGGCAAGATGGTGGCCATCTGCAAGCCAAGGAGAGCAGCTTCAGAAAAAACCAAACCTGCTGACACCTTAATCTCAGACTTTTGGCCTCCAGAACTGTGAGAAAATAAATCTTTGTTGTTTTATGACACCTAGTGTGTGATATTTTGTTATGACAGTCCTAGAAACTAATACATGAGATAATGTGGAAAGCTAACAAAAGGGTGTGCTGTACCTGCACTCAAATACTTGTCTTCTAAAGTTGCATTAATAGAAGCAAATATTTAAAATACAGGATGTGCCAGTCCTGTCGTATGCTGGTCAGAACCCATAGAGTGAATGTGGAATCCCCTTCTGGAAACAAACTCTGATTGCTTGGGGGTGGGTGGCCATTGTGAAACTGGGTCCCATCCAGAGAAAGGCTACAAGGCTGGCGAGGAGTCTAGGCACTGTTACACTGTGCGAAGTAGCTAAGTTTAACCCAGAGAAAGGAAGAGTTAAGGGGACATAAAGCCATCTCCAAATGGGTAAAGCACTGTCTTAAGGAAGAGGAATTCCATCTAGCTGTGTGGGCCCAGATGGGAGAGCCGGAACCAGTGTGTAAAAGTTTCAGGGAGGTAGGTTTCAGTTCAGTACAAAGAGGGCTTTTCTAAGAGAGCTGTGGGCAAACATTACAGGCTTCCTCAAGTATTCCATGAGGCTGCGTGACCACTTAGCAGAAATGTCAGAGGGGGGACTCAAGCACAGGTCCTGTGTTTGCACCAGATAAACTTGGATGTTTATTTCAATCCTGATATTCTCTGTACGACTGGATTGTACTTATCAGCTGGAGAACAGGTCTCAATAGTGCTTAGACATATCTCTTATGATTATGAAGACATACACATGGTCAACAAATGTTTCTGAGTTTGTTGATTTGACGGCTTATTAGAAAGCTTTAGAAAATTTACTGAGAAAAACAATTACATAAGTATTCAAACTCTAGAGGTCAGTCATAGGACCCTGGAAGCATGGGTACCCAACTAAGATTCTGGAGCCCCAAAGCACAAGCTTCAGCAGAAACGAACTTGTGCAAGTGAAAAATCTTAAACTTATTCTATACAAAGCTGCCATCTCAGTTTTACAAAGCAAAAATAAATAAATAGAAAAAATGCTGAATTAGATTTGTTTACTAAAAGTTAATCTATCCTGAAAGAATTTGTTAAAATTACTCCCAGTAAGAGTCGACAGAGTAAAAGCTGTAATTTCCTGACTACCATCAGTATGTGAGATTTGGGGAAAGCCGACGGAAGCAGAGGATGATTTGGTGGCTGTATCCGAAACATGGTTTTCATATCCACAAATTGCTACAGAATAATGGGGTGCCGCTGGTTCTAAAGTGCTGCCTACCTGCACCACCTCATCAGCTCACACCCCTTAACTACCGTGGCTGGGACGGAGGCCCTCGGAGCCAGGCAGGCCGAGGAAGACCAGTTTTGCGCAGGGCCAGCGGGCGGCCAGAACCAGTGGGGAGTGAGTTGCACCCTTCTGCGGGCTGGGCTCGGGCACCAAAAGCCGCAGAGAGACAACACCGACAAGGCGAACTCTCTCCAGATAAACTTGGATGTTTCCGAGGCAAACACCCTCGAACCCCTTGGGTTCCGATCCACAGCCCCAGAAACACTCCCCCCCGCCGCCCCCTCCTCCGTACTCCACCTTCTGCAGCGGCACCGAGGACCCTCCCTCTCCCCGCAAGGAGAGCGCGCGCCGGGCGGAGGTTCGGAGGGGCCAGCGCATCTCCCAGACAGGCTCAGAATCCTCCTGCACAAGCCTGCGGCTCGCAAAAGGGCAAATATCAAGGGAGCGGGGGAGGAGGAAGAGTGTCATTCGGGCTCTGAGCGGACACGCAGAGCCTTGGTGGGACCTGGTGAGGTGCGGAGAGCTAAACGCAGGAAAGGAAGAGACTTTGGCAATTGGCCGTCCCCCGCCCCGCCCACGTGAACCCCGTCGGTGGTGAGGGTCTTGGGTGGGGACCGGCCGGGCTGTGCACTCTTGTCCCACGGGTTGGAGCCACCACCGCGGCAGCAGCCTAAAGCGGAGCCCTCTCCCGCGCCGTGCCGCGCTCTGGGGGCACCGGAGGACGCGCGGAGGCCGCGGCGGCCACCCGGGCTTGCGCGCAGCCCAGGCGGAGACCGCCGTTCTGCGCCAGGAAAGGGGCGACCCGGCCCTAGGCCTGTGCCGACAGGTGCAGGCGCGCGGGCTTCCGATTGGTTGCGGCGGCGGCGGGTCCCTTCCCCCTCCCCGCGCTGGCGGGGCCCCTTCCCCATTCGCGGCGCTGGCTGGGTCTGCGGAGGCGCGTGCCCGCCGCGTGCGTGTCCGGGCTGCGCGCCTCCGCCCCGCCCCCGCCCCCTCCCTCTCTCCGCGCCGCCGCCGCGCGCTCGGGAGCTCAGGTAGCGGGCGCGCGGGTGACTCCTCGGGGGCGCGCGGCCGGACTACCGTCCTCTGCCGCGCAACTCCCGCACCCGTCCGCTCCCGGAGCCTGGGGAGGGAGAGCGCGGGCGGGGGGAGCTGGAGCCGGCCGCCGCCGCCGCGGCGGCGGCCGGCTCCAGCTCCCCCCGCCCGCGCTCTCCCTCCCC